CATATATGAATTGATCAACAAGGGGGTTCCAATTTTTCTAGATTCGATTTCCAAATTTGGTAAAATACTTGACTGTATTAATATTCGTTGAATATCCGTTGATATCTGGATGGTCGCGGATATTCACGGATACTATCCGACAGATATAATAATAACCACTATTGTGTTCAAACTTTGCAGTAATAGTAGAGATGGGCATAATGCGCACTGAATTTTTTAAAATGCGCATAATGTCCCAACGAATAATGAACATATGTAATGTTACACGAATTTTAGATTTTATTTTATGCCTCCGCTTAGTAAAATTTGGTCTCATTTTACAAAGCTTGGTCATGAGGCCACTTATAAACAAGAAAGAGCTCAATGTAATTATTGTTCACATAAATTGCTTGCTGCTGCAAATTGTTGTTCACAACACCTTAGAAATGTACCAAAGTTTCACATCATGTACTTGATGAATATTTTCAAAAATATAATTACGCAGTCAATCTGAGAATTCTACTTCCTCTTCTTCCTCTACTTCTTTATCTCAATCAACTCATTTAGTTAACATCTCAATTATTAATTTTATTGATAGAATTTCTTTTGCAGAGCAACAAGAATTTGAAATTTTATTTGCAACTGCTATTTTTTTGTTGCGGACTTCATTTTTCATTTTCTGAATTAAAACCAATTCGTGACATTTTTTATTCAATTAGACAGCTTTAAAGTTACCTTCATGAAAAAAATTATCAACAATTGATTATATGAGTTAGATGGATATGAAAATGATTAATTCAAAAAGTTGCATAATGCCCATCTCTAAGTAATACAGGATGCAAATGCCAATTGAAATTTACCGAAAAATTTCCGAAACAGAAAGTAATAATTTTTCCGGTCATGATAATGAAGTGAAGAAAAATAAAATCCCAAATGATAATACTTTAAATATCTAATTATTTCCAAGATAATATATCTGCTCACCCTGTTGTTTTGTATTGCTTATAATTAAATAACTATATCATTGAATAATAAAAAATATTGTTAGAAAATATATATCAGATATGGCAAAATAATAAATTTCAGCATTAAAATAAATTATTAATTTACCTTTAAATTTAGCGGTCGCATTTACTTCATCAACAATCACATCGTCAACAATCATTTCGTTAACACACATTTCATCAACAGTTCATTTTGTCGACAAATACTTCACTGACAGTTAGTTTACATGTGATGATATTATTACCGATTATAATAATAATTATTGCTTTTAATAATGTGAATCAGACAAATTGGCATTTCGTTTGAATCAAAACTCAGAAATATTTATTTTTGATGATGATTCTTTTCAAGATGCATGAAATTCAGTCATTAATATGCTTGCAAACTAATTAGTATCCAAATTTTCTTTTTATCTAAATTTCCTTATGCTTCTGAAATCATGATTCCTAGATTCAATCAGGATTATCAACTAAACAAATTATATTAATTATTATATCAATGTGTATGTTATGCTAAAATCATATGAACTGTCAACTAAATGAACTGTCCCTCACTAATACTAAAGGCACATGGGTTATCCCAGTGCCCTGAGTTAGTATTATTGACTTATTATACTATACTTGTATATTTTCAATGACCTTTTCAAAGATTATTGATCCAAAAAAGAAAACAAATAGGAAATACTTTTTCATTATCAGAAGATTGCTACAAATAATGAGAAAATGGTCCATAGTGCAATTCACTTACTAAAGAGCCTTTATTTAAAAGAGCAACAGGAATATCATAGGGGTATGGACAATAGAAACGTGTCCAACGTCAAAATCACGATTTTGAGATAATCGAAAAAAAAGATCTGCATTTCAAGTAATTTACTTATTGTTTTTAAGAACTTTAACAGAAAATATCTCAAAATTTTATTAAGCAAAGTGGGTATGGTTTCTAAGCTAAAATTGATCCATGCAATGAATTCAATATAGGGGTACCATTAACTCAAATTCGTCCTCAGGGACATTGGTCACGTTTCTATTGTCCATACCCCAATATATGAAATTTTGCACAAATATATAAAAGATCCACACAAGTTCTCAAATAAAAAGGAAGAAATGAAACAGATATTAATAAAGGTGGTATTTAAATATTTATTTAAAGAACATAATTTACTGTCTAGGATATAGTATAATCAATTGGTTAAAACATTCATAAACTGGGACCCAAACCCCGACTTTTTGGCTAGTGTATCTAATGATTATTTATTTATTTTGTGGGTAATATGAAGAGTTTTTTAAGACCATCAAGAAGGAACATTGAAACAAAGAAATCAAACTTTCTAATAAATATATTGAGACAAGTTATAAAGAAATGGATAAATTACTTTATTCAAAATACTGTAAAAATGATAAAAGAAAAATCCCACGAAATTCAATCATTAATAAATAATCTTTATTTTAATTTAAAGGCACATGGTAAACAAAGCATCTATAAGCCGTTCTTCTATATAGAAACACATTATTTTAATGTTTGTTATCTTGCTCTTTCTAGGTTATAGCCATATGTTCATTAAACTTTTATGGGAAAAACCAATTTTGGATGTGATATTGTCCAAATTGGCCAACCTCTTTGGGATGCTAAACAAAATATAGGTCAAGTCAGATCCCAAGATATAATTAGTCTTTCGAAACAGAAGCTTCTAGGCGATGTTGTTCCTTGGAAAAACCTCAAGGTCAAAAAAACAGCTTCCTTGCAAACGTTTTTTTTAGTGCGAAGACTAGAAAGTTTATAAACTACCCTCTTACCAAAAGAGTAAATTGACATTCAACTTTATTTCGGAGTTTAACATTGTCTTATTCTCAGATAAAAATATTGAATCAACTATGAAGTCAAATACTATCCAAAGCAAACAATTTAATGACCAATTATATTTTATCCAAAGTGGAGAAGAAAGAAGTGATTCAATCGGATGTCCTAGAAAAAGTATGATTTGGAGAACACTCTTATATTTTAGCTTGACATTTTGATACTGATGCAACATATAGTCATATTAGAAAATAAATATTATTGGCCAAAATGTACAAATTGTAGAAGATACGTGATTTATGCCAAAGGCGAGGAAGACCAAAACGAATGTGGGAAACCCATTTGATAGAATCGGAATAGATATTGAAACTACTCAAGGAAACAAACACCAAATGGATTATAGTATTTAACCAAATGGCTTTAATTCCTGATATTAAAGCAAAATTTGTCTATGAAGAAACCATTTGTAGACATGGAACGCCAAAAGTATTGTTATCTGGTCGAAGAGTCATCATTCCTAAATGAAACTGTAGGTTCTTTGTGTGAAGTAATGGGTAAAAGTCATGCTCTTGCATCTCAACATATTTTTCCCAGACAAATGGATTATCAGAACGATTTTATGCGAAACTATTGCTAAATGTACCATACAATATGAAGGATATTGGGATCGGTTTGTACAATCTTCATTGTTCGCATACAGAACTAAACAACAAAAATCTACAAATTCATGTCATTTATTTAAATGTATGGAAGAAAAGAGATAATGAAGAAGATGGTTAATCAACGAACAAGTGAAACACATCACTGAAAGGCTGAAAGGTGCAAGAGAAAAAGTGAAAAATAATATAAACAAGACGCAAGGAGACAAAAAGGAAAAAAGACTTGACAAGAAAGTAAAGCCACTAAAGTATAAGAAGCCATTTGATAGTAGTAGCTCACAAAACCTGCATGAGACAAATTTAGGGAAACATGAGCAGGTTGCTTCTTATATCCGTGAAGCTTGGAAACACGAGAGCTACAAATTGAGAGAAATAGAAAACGAAAGAAACAGGTAAATGGTACTAGGTTGAAAGAATATTAGATAGAAACTTACTAATGGCAAATTTCATCACTGAAATCACTTGTCAGAATACTCAAATTAATATTGGTACGTATGATGTTATAGATAAAATTTATTATAAATTATACTACAATTCAAATAATTTTGAATATAAAAAAATCAATGAATATATTTCATTAAATACATATTAAATTATTTTAAGCCGTCGTTTCAGCTAAAGTATATGAAAGTAGAAAAATATTGATTAGTATTGTATGAACGAAGTAGAAAATTGGTCAATACCCAGGCAAGTTTATGTGTGTGTGTTTGTATTTATAAAAAAAAAAAACAATAAAAAGATATTTTAAAAATTATTTTTATAAAAAAAAACTTTTTATAATTTGGCCTTCCTACCCGAGTCAATAAAACCAAGTTCCAATAGTTTTTTAAAAGCTGCAGCAAATTGAGTAAAGAATTCTCCTTCATTATTTGCAAATTCTTCAACATATCCTCTAAATCTATCGTCAAGTAATGCCATATCAGATGGTAACATCATGAGCCCCCCTGCTTCGTACTGAAGAGCTCCACTAGACTCAACTGTCGTTTCTTGCCAACCCGGTTTTAATAAATGTCTAAAACTTTTTTTTTTGAAGGAAAAGTAAATATAAATAAATACATATACATATACTTTAAAAAACAATATTTTATTAAATCTAAAGTGATAACTTACAACATATTTGTAAAAGTCGTTGGAGAATGTGTCCACCTACCCTTATAACCCGATGTTTCTGGATGACAATGACCAAGTGAATGTGCGCCTAACAAAGCGACGATTTCACTAATGAACAAAAAATAGTAGATTCATTAACCACATGAATTACATGATCATACCACAATGATCGTCATAATTATTTACCGGTTATTGAAACCCATTCTAGAGAAAACAGATTCTATATGATCTGCACCTTTGTCAGCATCAGGTAAACGACCAGGGTCTGGGACTAACGACTCTTGAGTTTGTATATCTATATCTTTGCGGCCAGGAGTCCATAGTACCTCTGGTCCCTTCATTGCTTTTATAGCAACAACTCCTGCTAGAGTCCAAATATCTGCGTCTATTATCATTATAGTTAAAAAAAAAAAACTAGAATTATTATTATTATTTTAAACAATTTTTTTTTGATTTTCAAAATTAAAAATGAATATAATTACAAGATACTTCAGGAAATTGTTGTTTGATTGATTCTAGTTTCTCTCTTGCTAACTCTAAACCGTTATTAGCAGGGTCATTAGCTTCTTTAGGACATCGCATAGTGGCACCATTAGAACCACCAGTCTTAGTTATTTTATCAAAAGTTCCAGAGGCATGCCATGCTAAACGTACAAATAGAGGGGCGAGAGTATCCTTATCATTGCCGCCCTTCACTGGAATAAGTTTCTTGATTGCTTCACGAACTTCATTATAATCAACTTGAGACATTTTTTATTTATTTATTTATTTATTAATTGATTGAATTTTTTTTCGTTAAAGGGAGAAAATTTTGATGATAGATAAATGGATGAAATAGATGATAGATAAATTCTATGTTTAATATATATAAAAAAAAGTTCTTTTAATATACATTTTGGCGTTTATTTATTTTACTTGATTAGGCAATATAATGAAGAATTTATTGATAACCTAATTAAACTAAATGAATCCTTCCTTTATTTTTTAAATGAAAGATAATCAATTACACCATAAAAAAATTCTCTTTATGTATCACAATAGGCAATCCTTTTTTGTTTGATAGTAATTCCCTTTAAGAAAGAAAAAAAATTTTTAAAATTCTTTGTTTGAAATAATTTGAAATTCACATATTTGATTGGTTAATTCTTTTTGGCTGTCAAATTTTTAAAAAATACCGCTTTCCTTAGTGTATATATTTTGAACTACACGACTAAACTTGGTAATGATTTTTATTTAATTAAACTTTATTTATTTTATTAATGGGAAAAAAAAAAATTTTTTTACATAAAATTATTACCAAATGTATGTATAACAATTGTTGTGCGCAATGTTCGAAATTTGACTGCGCCTTATCATAAAACTAATTTAATTTTAGAAATTAACTGCGGTTAATTTCTATACTTGGTTGGCGCGCGCCGATTCCGCCGATTGAATTTCGAGCGAGCATGGTGGACATTTAGGGATGGGAAAATTTCAAACTTCATGCGCATGATGCGCACTGCATCTGCCGATCTTTTTTATTTTTTAAAAAAAAATTTATTATTATTAAAAAAAACAACAGATTTAATTACTAATATTAGTCACTGATTCAGATGTATATACATCACTATCATCATTTTCACTTCACTAACATCATCTTCCTGTTCCTCATTATCATTACCAGTATCATAGTGTTTCCATTGACATTATCTTTTGATTTTTTTGATTTTTGTAATTATAATTAAAATAAATAAACACTAATTTGAAAACCATGCCAGATGTTAGTCTATTTCTTTTTTTATCATGTATATATGAGAATGCAGGCCAATTTCTTTTGGGTGCTGCTGAAGATGTAGGATTGAAAGAATTTGTACAGCAAGATTAGTTAGTTCAGGGGCAACTAATAAAAAATTCCCTTTATACCATGTTACCAAATCTGCTTCATCTATAGTTGACCATGCTAAAGAATTGTCAAACAAGCCAGTATGTTGTTTATAATGTAGTAATTGTGACCAAAATTTTCTAAAAAAAATTTAATTTTTTTTGTGTTACATTTATTACTATGTACAAAAAAAATTACATGCGCATGATTTCAAAAATTACGTGCGCATTGGAACATCTATATGGACATTCCTTTTATATTATTTATATTATGTTGATCATTTTTCAATTGTTTTAGAATAGACTATGGGTTACACTTATGAAGCACTAAATAACACCTCCATTCGAAGTAACAATTTTTATTTCTTGATTGCAAGTCATTTACTAAAATTGCCTGTTGGTTTTTGTTCTGTTTGCAAAATAGAAAAAGATGACTCTAAGTGGCGAAATATTTCAGAACAAGGAAAAGAAAAAACTGAACTAGTGGGTTATGATTAAATATAGGCAAAAGAATATGTTATAAATGCTATAATTCTTATATAGCATGTGATAGATATAATAGATATAAAAGAAAACCTGAAGATGCAACATATAAATGAGAAAACCAATTGAAATGGAAGCAAATACTAATTTTTGTTTACAAAATCAAATTATAGAATTAAAAACAGAATTAGAAAAGATTACTAGACCATCAAGTCAACATATTAAAGGTGATTAAATATTAATCAAATAAATTAATTTTATTATTATTAATAAATGATTAATTTTTACAATTTTCTGATTTTTTTATGATCAAATAAATAAAAATGATCAAAGAAAGAGAGATCCTTCGTTTAAAAGGCTTTTTTGATATGCTATATCAAAGTATAGCCCTTCTTCAAAAAAATTCCTCTACAGAAATAAGTCTAAAAAGAAAAGTAATGATTCTGTTACCAATTATTTGCCCAGTTTCGATTCCTGCTGTGATTACGAAAATTGTGAATAGCAGATGAACTACAATGATGATAATTGCATATTAATTTGTGGTCATGAATATCATTATCAATCTTCAAGATCTACAGTTTAAATGTCAACATTGTCTTTTAAAGATTGATCAAGATTTACATCACCTTTCAAAATTAATTCTTCAGACCCTCCAATTTAATATTATCTTCATTATATATAGTATTTTCATCCTCTTCTTCATCTCCACCTAATACAGATGTATTATCTAAACTTTCTAATCTATTATTATATAAGTTTCCTCAATACCATTCAATAATTAAATAAATTTTTTGTGGGAACATTTTATGATTTTGTGGAACAAATGAATGCTGGTTGTGCGTGAAAACGTGAATTGCAAATTAGCCAATCAGAATTTCATATCAAAACCAAAATTTTAATTAGATTTCAATTTCACATAATTTCGATTGCACATACAACAATAATAAATAAAGTTTGGGAAGCAGTTTTGAAGCTTGAGTCATGATTTTAAAAATTTTAATAGTGAAATAGCATTAGTAGAAGTAGCATTAGTAGGAGAAGTAGCATTAGTAGAAGAAGTAGCATTAGTAGTAGAAGAAGTACCCACACGGGAGCCTGCAATTTTTATTTTATTTTTTTATATTTGTCACTTGAAAATAGTGCACTAATCTTATGCAGATCCTGATAGCCAACAATAATATACTATCAATTATAATAAAAAACCTAAATCTTGATATTTTTTTAATAAATCAATACTTCCACGAACACTGAGTATTTTAAATGGTCTAGGACCTCTCCAATTCTTCATCAAACTATCTAAAGACTCGTCTTTAGAAATATCAACCTTAACTTTAAAAATTAATGTATTCAAGTTTTTTGGTAATGATTGGTTTAAAACAGCCAATATTTTATCACCATTCAATGTATAATCGTACACAAAGATATTAGTAAATGTGATATGTTTTAATTTGAAGCAATTATTAAATATTTCCATTAAATATTTATCTTCTTGATGATTCCTGTAACATATTGATAGAAATTCTAAATTTGGACATTTTTGTCCAATCGATTTAATAATTAATCTTAAATAACCCCTGTCTTTTGGTGTAGCGCCTATTGTCAGATCTTTAAGACCATTTCCATTGAGCGTGATAAAATCTGACAAACAAAGTAGAAATAATTGTCTAGTAATTTCCACATTCAAAGTTTCAAGATTTGGGAGTGAAATATTTTTTATTTTTTTTAATTTGTCTTGAGTTGACTTACGACCATTATCAAATAATGACAATGATTTCAAGTTTTGAAACTTTGATAATAAATAATCTAAACTATTGTTTCCAAAACTCTCATAATTAATGATTGATTTTGAATGAATAAGAATTGCTTTTTTTAAAACATCTGGTAAACTTACAGGGGAATTGTATGAATTTTTAATAACCAATTGTTTAATTTTATTTTGTGCCAAAATTAGTTGAGCTAGGCTGCAGGCCACATCATTATCGTAACATAAATTAAAATCATCTTTATTACAATCTATTTTTAAAACTTGAATATTTCTACAAGTGATTGCTAATTTATCAAGAAGTTTAGAACTACCATAAATATTACAATCCAATTCATAAAGATTTCGAAAACAATCTTCAAATCTATGATGATATATCAGCCTTTCATCTCTTGAATAAATGGCCTTAAAATTTCTGACAGTTGAATGATCTAAAATAAAATTTAATAACATTTCTTCTAAATAATAATTTGGACTAACTATGATTTTTTGTAAATTTTTGCTAATTTTGCGAAAGTCTAATTCTGTTGTAAATCTAGCATATATTTTTTGTGAATTTTTACTAATTTCGTTAAAATCTAATTTAGTTGTGAATCTGGCGTAATTATATAATGGTTGTTTCCCCAAAAATTCAAATCCTTTTAATTCAATGTCATTTTCCATCAAAAAGTTCTTATCTTTTACTAATAAACAATTAACTAATATTTTAGTGCTTTTTTCAGAATAGAATGGATTTCTCCATAAAGTTAAAATATTGATACTATGCCATTGTTTATTAACAAGAATGCAAGAATATAATGTTTTATAATCCTCTTCAATGTATTTAAATATTTCAATTAAAAGTTCAGATGGTAATAGCTTTATCATTGACATTTCATTTTTATTTTTAATATATTATTTTTTAAAAAATAAAAATAAAAAATAATAAAATGAATAAAACGAAAATGAAATTTGTAAAACATCGTTTTGTATACTACAGCGAGTCTCGGTATAACGGGCTCGGTATAGCGGATTTGGGGTTTAGCGGATAAATTTTCAAAACCAAATTTTTCTATAATAATAATAATAATAATAATTAATATTTTATAATATTAATGTTAATACACTCACTGGTGACTGATTGGTAAAATAGATCTTTTGGATTAATAACTCTCACTTGGAATGAAACAGTTAATAAGTGGTTATTAACTATTAGTAACTTGTCAGAAAACTTGCAATGTGAAATTTAAAAGTGATAAAAATAGAAAACAAAATTTAAATCTTACAAAAATATATACTAATAAACCAATCACAGTGTAGGTCAAACCTTTGTTTTTGAATTCGACGCATAAACAATTGATACATTATTAACAAGGGAGAAAAATAACTTGAAATATTTTTACCAAATTGTTGAGTTATTTATTATTAGAGAGGATTAATTAATTAAATGTTAAAAACAGCTGCTGAATTTTTTTAAAGCAAATGTAACTAACAATCTATAGAGTCACATTAATTAATTATAGTGACAAATTCCTATTCATTACGGCAATAAAATTTAATATTGTCCCTATTATTCAATACAGCTTGATCAGTAGAGTATAAGTAAACACGTCCTGTTGACACACCAACTGACAAATAATTCAAATCTTCATTTGCTCTGATACATGTTATTGGGCTATCATGTTCTGGGAATTCGTATTTCAAACAAGTGGATGAATTATCTGATTTATTAATATTCCATAACTTAACAATACCATCTGAGCCTCCAGTTAAAATCATGTTACTATTAATCCATTGAATTCCATTGATTCCCTCATATATCAGTCCATCATTTGGGGTAGTGTGAGAAAGCATTCGAAGTGGCTTGTTTTCATATCTTGTATCAAATACCCAAACTTTATTCCCCACCCCTCCCAATGCAATATATTGATCATCTGGTGAAAATGCAATAACATTTGAATCATATTCATTGGTTTGATATATTTTCTTTTCGTTAGATTCTAATTCAATCAAACGTATATTCCCATCACTCCTAACCTGGTCACTAGTTGATGTCACCCCACATGCCACCCGATATCCAGATGTTGACATTCCCAAGCAACTCACACTATTGTTACTGCCTATCTTATAATCAACTAACTTTCTTTTTGTTTCTATATCCCATAATCTTATAAAACCATCTTTCTGTGATTCAACTCCTTCAAAACCGGCAATGATGGTCTGATCAAAATAGTCAATACCATAAATTATGTCAACAATAGGTGGAGCACTTGTTGTTTTTGTTTTCACTTGCAAAATATTTTTATCTAACTTATAAGAATTGCCTTCATCTGCGTTCAAACTAAAACATGTGATGCTGCCTGAATTGTCACATGATGCAAATTGATACGTGGCCTTAGATTTGTCATGTTTAGCAACAATGCGATTTACAGTGTCTTCACATTCTACAGCTGCCAAGGGAGTACAAATTTGATCTTCTTTACCTATTGATGACCAGATAATAACTTTTTTATCAGTAGAACAAGAGTAAATAAATTTCCCTCCCTGGGAAAATTTCACGTCCGTGACAGATTTCCATAGTTTTTCATTTGTAGTTTCTGTATGATAATCATAATGTCCTTGTAAATAATATACAGTTCCTTTCCTAGCATCAAATAATTGTAAATTACCTGCCATATTATATTTTGGGTCATGATTTGCAATGTAAGCAATTGCAAGTTTAGGCACTTCATGATTTTTGAACTTTGAAATATGAATTGCCATTTCATTAACATCACCACTACCTTGATGGAAATCTATACACTGCAAATTTCCAAGTTTATCGATTGGTTCCAATTTTGATGTATCAATTTCAACTTCCAATTCCATACCACCATTATCACTGCAATCTTTTTTATTTTTACAATCATTACTATTAATATTGTTAATTTCTGGAACTATTGGTTGTGGTTCTTTACCTTTTTCTTTGAAATTTAATGGGAACCCATTTATAATTCTATAATCAAACTCATTATCATACATTTCAATTGTATTTTTTATATTCTTCAAAAATTCCTTGACATCATCATCATCAGAAAATAGATATGTAAAATTATTATTATTGCCGTTACCATTGTTATTATTATTATCATCATCTGTATTTAATATATCTGATAGGTCATCTAATGAATATTGAAAATATGCTGAACTATTATTGTTATTGCTATCGTTACTGCTGTTACTGTTATTGTTATTGTTACTGATGTTATTGAAATTATAATAGGATTGTCCTTCTAATGAATCTGTAATGAATTGATCAAATGGGTCATATTTAATAAAATCTTGACTATCATCACCATCACCATCATCATCATCATTTCCTCTGTCATCAAGGATAATCATATTATTATTATTATTATTACCATTAACACCATTCTCTTCAAAAATAATCACATCAGATTCAATATAATCAATATTTTTTTTAATGTTATCGTTATTTTTGTTAGGTATATTAGTACTACTACTAGTAGTAGTAGTAGTAGTAGTAATAGCAGTGGTTGTTGCTGTTGTTGTAATTAGATTAGTGACAGCAGTTACATTGGTTGCAGCAGTTAGATTAGTAGGAGTAGCAATTTTATTTTTAGTAATTGGCAATGATGAACTCAAAACAACTATTTCTTCTTCTTCTTCTTCTTCTTCTATTAATTCTCTGCCTGATTCCTCACAAGAATCAGTTATAACAAGTGGATTAGATTCTGTACCTATCATAATGCCGTCAACAAAATCATCATCACATTTGTTAACTCCTTGTGGTTTTTCATCATCACTATCCAATACTATAACATAGTTAGTTTTTACTTCTTTCCATGCTTTCTTTTTCTTATTATTGTTATTATTACTACTATTAATTGATCTATTATAACAATCATATATTTGTCTCTTAATTGGGACAATTTGATTTTGTTGATTTTGTGATTGTGATGTTGGTGCAACTGTATTTGTATTTGTGTTTGTGTTTGTATTTGTATTGAGATTTAAATATGGTAAAGCATCAATTGGTTGAGAAGAAGAATAGTCGATGTTGTTGTCAAATGATGCAATTAGTCTATTATTATTATTATTATTGGTTGCAGTGCTGGTGGTGTCAGTGGCAATCGTGATTTGTGATGAGGCATCAGTAATAAAAAGATTATTGTTATTGATATTGCTAATATTTTTCTTTTTTTCTTTTTTACTATGATTATTAAATGGAGAAAAATTAGCAAAGATATCATCAAGTTTGGTGCTGTTTAAACCAGAATCACAATTACTACCGCTAAAAGTAGCATTATTACTTCTACTGGCTATACTATTACTGCTGCTGCTGCTGCTGCTGCTATTATTAGAATTACTATTTTTAATTTGATCTTGAATTTTTATTGATTCTTTAGCAATTAAATTTTTGTGATTATCAAAAATTCTAGGTGTAAATGATGAAAAAGCATAGGAGGAAGATAACAGATCTTCAAATTTAAAATCTATTATTTCTTGTGGTATAGCATAATCATGACCTAAAATTTTCAAATGCTTAACCAAGTTTTCCATTTTTAAAATATTTTTTGACCATTTATTTTGTAAATCTATCAACTTTTTTGAATCCTTTTTAAGATATGTTTTAGATAATTCAGTGAAATCACAAAGTAAATCTGATATTTTATCTAGCTGATCATAAAGCCTAGTACAAGATGCCATCATTTCTGAATGTCCTGTCATGTTATCATCATTATTACCACCGCTACTTTTGTTATTTTTAGCAGTTCCAAAATACTTTCTTCTTACCAGTTCCATATCAATGTCATCCAACATAATGGTATTACAGTTGGTAGATCTTGATGATTGTTGCATTGTGTTTTTATTTAATTTATATTTTTTTTTTATTTTAGGCCTAAAAGGTCACCGAAAATTTTGACCAGCCCATTAGAATTAAATTCATTGTGATGTCCGTAGTGACATAAATTTTAGATCTTTACCAAAATTAGAAATTTAGAAGAATTTTTATGGAAAGTGAGCGTGATCACAGCGAACAAAAATGATATTTACTTAAAGTCAAATTATACTTTGAACGACAATCAGACAAATCACGATTGAATGATAATAAATTGAGATTGATAAAAATATATTGAATTTAATCAAAGGACAAGCAGAAATTGATGATAATTAAAAACTTAATACATAAATAAATTTTTATATTTTTTAAAAAAAATATTGTTGGGAACCGGTTTGGGTATAATCGATTTAAACCCAGTTCCCATTTTTCATACTTAATATTACGATTTATTCAGTTCAAAATCAATTTATTTATTTAATGGTTACAATAATACAATTTCTTCCAATTTGTAACAACAATTTCCGCAAATTAAGGCGAACAAATCAATTCAATTCGAACCGAATCAAATAACCTAATTTTGATTCGAATTCGAATTGTACTTTGATTTGATTCGAACTCGACCACATATCCAGTATGAATCTATATAAATCATCAGAAACGTCTCCTTGAACAACAATTTCTTCATTTCCTTTGATTATTTTTCATGCAGATGATTCACACGCAAATTTATTTGCAAACAATTTTGCTGCTTTTCTCAATTCAATGAAATTTAAAACTCTTTTTCTGTAAATTACCAAAATGATGTAAACCATAAACATTTGTGATACTTGTTCGTTTATTTCGTGCAATACGTGCGATTAATTTGTTATTGTCATATTTATGTCAATATTTTTAAGTAAAAAAATTTTTTGTCGATCCTGATCGTCTCGACGAACTTTTGTTACAATTATGACAACGAATTTAGGTGGTCGGTCCCACACTTTTGTTATGACAAGGTTAGAGTGTATTAGTATATTGCTTTGTATTTGTGTGACATACAGTTGTGGCTAAAAAAAAGTTTGGATAAAAAAAAATTTTTTTTGGACAATTATAAAAAATGAAAAACACTAAAAATGAAAATAAACATTATGATGATGAAGACCCATATATTAGAAAAAAACATTATGGGGAATGTCCAACATGCAATAAATATAACACTAATAGAGCATGGTGTCAATCATGTGGTCCAAAGCTATTAACTGAGGGATGGACTAGTGGCAATAAAACATTAGATGAGTTGATTAAAAGTACACAACTTAAAGCAACTCGTTATGGTACTCATTATGGTAATTATGGTTATCTTCAATGGATTCCTTATAATGATTTAACAAATATTGAAAAGGTAGGTGAAGTTGGCTTTGCAACTATATTCAAAGCTACTTGGTTAAATGGTGATAAATATGCTGGTGGAATTAATAGAATTAGCAAAGATATGACTGTGGCATTAAAAAAACCACATAATTCACAGAATATTTCTGAAGAGTTTCTTAATGAGGTAAATTATAATACTAGTTTCAGATTTTTAAAATATTATACTGAAATTCAATATATATTTTTTTTTAGTTCAAAATTTATGCTGCATTTTATGATAAACCATTTATAATTGAAGTTCATGGATTAACACAAGATCCAACTACAAAAGAATATATTTTTGTAATGAAATATCCAAGTCATGAAGGTTATGAAGACCCATATATTAGAAAAGAACATTATGGGGAATGTCCAACCTGCAATAAATATAATACTGATTATTCATGGTGTCAATCATGTGATCCAAAGTTATTAACTGAAGGCTGGACAAGTGGCAATGAAACATTAGATGAGTTGATTAAAAGCACACAGCTTAAATCAACCAAGTATCATTAAAGTGATTATCTTCAATGGATTCCTTATAATGATTTAACAAATATTGAAAAGGTAGATGAAGGTGGATTTGCAACTATATCCAAAGCTACTTGGTTAAATGGTTATAAAAGTGCAAATTATACTAATAACAAAAGAACAAGTAAGGATATACCTGTGGTATTAAAAAAACCACACAACCCACAGAATATTTTTGATGAATTTCTTAATGAGGTAAATTATAATACTAGTTTCAGATTTTTTAAAATATTATTGATTATTTTATTATTGTTGTAATTAATATTCTATTTGTTATTTTAGTTCAAAAATTATAAGAAGTTTCATGATAAAATTTATATTTATGGGTTAACACAAGATCCAATTACAAAAGAATATATATTTGTAATGCATTGCATGGAAGATGGAAGTTTTCAAAATGATGAATATTCAAAGAAAAGAGAAGAAGGGAATGGTGAATGTACAACCTGCTATAGATATAATACTGATTGGTTATGGTGTCAATCATGTGATCCAAAGTTATTAACTGAAGGATGGACTAGTGGCAATAAAACATTAGATGAGTTGATTAAAAATACACAACTTAAAACAACAAAAAATGATAATCGTAATTATCTTCAATGGATCCCTTATAATAATTTAACAAATATTGAAAAAATAGGTGAAGGTGGGTTTGCAACTATATACAAAGCTACTTGGTTAAATGGTTATAAAAATACTGATAAATCCGTTGCTGGTGATGATAGGACTGTAGCATTAAAAAAATTACATAATTCATCAAATATTTCTGATGAATTTCTCAATGAGGTAAATATTTTATTAATACTGGTTTCAGATTTTTTAAAACACTATTGATTATTATCATTGTAATTAAATATTTATTGTTATTTTAGTTCAAAAATTATGTAGCAATTCCTCCAAATCTATATATAATTCATATTTATGGATTAACAAAAGATCCAATTACAAAAGAATATATATTTGTAATGGATTATAAAAAAGATGGAAGCCTTCAAAATTATTTAGCAAAAAATTTTAAAAATTTAAAATGGAAAGATAAACTTAATATCCTTCGTCATATTATTAGTGGTTTAAAAATTATTCATGAAAAAGAAATTATTCATCGTGATCTTCATAGTGGTAATATTCTTCAAGGTATTCTTTATTCATATATTACAGATTTAGGATTATCATGCCCAGCTAGTCAAACATCTGCATCAAACAAAAATGATATATTTGGAGTAATACCATATGTTGCACCAGAAGTTTTAAGAAAGAAACCATATACAAAAGCATCAGATATATACAGTTTTGGAGTTCTGATGTCTGTAATATCAACTGGTCAACAACCATTCAATAATTTATTACATGATTTAGACCTTGTGATGAAAATATGTGAAGGTGTAAGACCTGGATTTTCAAATAACACACCAAAATTCTATATTGAACTAGCATTCAGATGCATGGATGCTAATCCAGATAAACGTCCAACTGTTGAAGAAATTGATGGGATTATTAAGTCTTGGTTTCATTCAGTTGATTATGAAATATATAGTCTGGAAAAAAAACTTAGACCAATTAAAAAAGAGTTTGAAAAAATGGACAAAATAAAATTTGATCCTCCAACAATTACTGCAGCTACTGCAGCAATTCATCCAAATGCAGTTTATACTAGCAGGTTATTAAATTTTACAAACCTTCCCCAACCTGTGAATTCCAATAAACTGACAATTATCAGTAGTTATGGTAATTATAATCATTGATTATTTTTCATTTTTAAAATATATAACATTTATTAATTAATATCTATTCTTGTGATAAATATTTTTTTAGATACTTAACAGATTGAATTAACTATACCAGATGACTTACCTGAATAAGTTAAATCTTGTCATTTTTATTATTTATTATTTTATTTATTATTTTATTTATTATTGTATTTATTTGGATACTATAGTTGTGATATTAAATATCTTGAGAAATGAAATTAGTTACTTATATTTAATTATATAACTTTTCACAATTGTTTAGATGCGCACTAAAATAATGATACAAAAAAAAAAATAAATGTAATTTTTAATTTTTAATAATCATTGTCATCATAAACATACATAGATCAATGTTTTCATTTTTATGTGTAAAACTCCGAATGGGTCAGGTTTGAGTTTGGCCTGAATGTTTTAAGGCCAACTCGAAAATTTCGGGTTAATAAGAAAGTTTTGTGGTTGTACATTTTATCTGGTTTTACTGCGTTATATATTATTTTGATATGCAATTGTGGCTAAAAATAAAAAAAAATTTTAAAAATGGAAAACACTTTAAATGAAAATAAATATCATTATGATACTTCTACTGACAAAATGGAAGATGGAAGTTTTCAAAATGATGAATATTCAAAGAAAAGAGAAGAAGGGAATGGTGAATGTACAACCTGCTATAGATATAATACTGATTGGTTATGGTGTCAATCATGTGATCCAAAGTTATTAACTGAAGGATGGACTAGTGGCAATAAAACATTAGATGAGTTGATTAAAAATACACAACTTAAAGCAACAGAACATGATAATAATAATTATCTTCAATGGATTCCTTATAATAATTTAACAAATATTGAAAAAATAGGTGAAGGTGGGTTTGCAACTATATACAAAGCTACTTGGTTAAATGGTTGTAAACATACT